GTACGGCCCTAGTAATTTACAGAAGCTCTATTTCTACACTGCATTAGCACCCAAAATATCTACGAGTTCGTAACTCCGTCAGCCAATCACTGAAAGCTTTTCTAGCTAAACCCACCAATCACAGACGCGAAATGTGCCGCTGCGTGTACTATGTATGCTAAGCGCAATTATTATTGAGGTATTGTATTTCACCACTTATAATTATTTTCTCGGCACAGAAGAAGACGGTTGCTGAAAATCGGTCGATAAAGACGTCAGTGGTAAATGCTGACGCTGCTGGTTAGTTCATCTTGAGGGAAAAAAATTGAATTATGCGGTCGCTGAATGCAAGTCCCAGTCAAAATTTGACCCCACCATCAAAGTTTTTCGTTCTTGGTTATTTATCTCTACTCTCGACGACATTCTGCTGCTTGCTCCTTATCCTGGAGTGTGAAGGACGCTTCAAAGCTTGGAAGTCGGTGGCGGTGAACACGACTTTTACACAGAACAACTTAATCCTACAATCAGCCTGCTAGTATTTGCCTAGTATTCGCCTAGTCTTTGCCTCGCTATCAATTGCTGCGAGGCGTCGCACTTTAATCGTGGAAGAAACTTCAGCAGGCTGAGCGTCTTTAATGTCACTCGATTCTTCCTGATCTAAAGAAAGCAATGGAATAATTTTAGTTACCGACGGTACTGTGTTCGCGGAATCCCTGTGCGGTAAGCAAGACAAATCTCTCATAATCTGCCTTACGTCTCCCTTAAGCATGATACCATGGGGAGTCCGAGAGAAAAGCGAGGACCCTTCTGCCCCAAACAGCACCTCCGACTCATGCAAGCAATGTCCGCTCTTGGTTCCAAGAATAAACTGAACATTTGTTATACAATCGTTCCCTGAGAGGAGAAAGTCATCAGCTAGCAATCAATCCCGCTTGACAATCGTCCCGCTTGACAAATGAGTGAGCTATTTGGGATAAACAAGGCAAATTCAAAGAAACATTAATTACAGGGAGGCACAAAGCCTCAAGAACACATTCCTTGGTTCCAAAACCAACTTTCACTTCGACCAATCTGGTTGAATAGTCTCGAGAGCTGTTTATCCCATTCACCGTCAATGGAACCTCTTCCTTGACGGTTCTTAGTTCCAGTTGATCGGCAAGATCAGTCGTTATAAAGTTCGATTGGCAGTTCGATACTTTTCTTTTATAAACCTATAGAGTAAAACGCCTCATAGTAAAATACCCATGGTCCATTTAAATACAGTATCACACCAAAAAGATCAATATAATCTATATACCTGGCTTTTTTAATAAATACATATACACTATATCTATGACACCTAATTCTAGGTATAATATGTAATTAATAATAAGTAATACAACGCCAAGATCAAAAATATATTCGGCATTTTTGTCTCATCACACAACACATACAACCATAAAAAACACGCATGTTTGTCTCATCACGCAAGTTGCAACACGCATGTTTGTGCCATTAAGGACACGTAAAATAAAAAAATATGCGCTTAAAAATTAATTTTTAAAGACGACACTTCTAAAGAATCCTGTGACTTTGATGTTACACATGTACAATGAATTTATAATTTTATTTTCAAATATAAAAAACAATTTTCAAACTTTTTTAATATATAACAATTTTGTAAATTTTCAAAAATTATTTATTCTGTCAACTGATTCATGCATTGTCTCTGAAAAAAAAGTGTGTCAAATATTGATTTTAAGATTTGTAGCAGGCAGAAAAACAAGTAGTGAAGTCAAAGAGAAGTGTTGCAAAAATGTGTGCGACTGTCTCATCACACAAGACATATTAAATACACATATATTTTTCTGATCACCCGCTGCATATAAAGTACGTAAAACACATGCTGAGTGTGGGCAGGGCGCTACGTGGGGTCGCGGCTCATCAAGCTGCGCAAGAGCCAATGGCGCGACCGCAACCTCGACGTCATTCAGAAGAAGGTGGCAGAGAAGCAACTCCTTGGACTCAAATAAACTTTATATTATTTGCTGCTCCTTCTCTTCCAATAATGTCAATATTATTGCGCTCTACCCGGTTTCAAATTATGTCAATATGATTGGGTTCTCATTCCACTTTATTAATGTTAAAATTATTGGGCTCTTCTCAGGTATAAACAAGTCAAATTATACTGGGCGCTCTTCGGACTGGAAAAATCACAATATTATTGAATGTTCCTTGTGCTTAAATAATGTAAAAGATATTGGTTACTCTTCCGTGTCAGAAGATAAGATATTATTGGTTCTACTCGGGCTAAAAAAATTAAATATTAGGTATTGGATTCAGCTTGGACTCAAGTAATGGCAATATCATTAGATGTTCCTCAGACTCGAAAAAATCTTCTGTAACTCTAATAACGTCAATATTATTAAGTGCTACGCGTGCTTAATTAAATAATGTCAAAACTGTTAGTTGGTAATGGAACTTGAATCATTTTCAACTTTTTGGCGTGCAAAGAGACATTTTTAATTTTATTCTATAAGTTATGTGTGAGGTAGCACGTCATAACCCTTGCTCCCATCTAACTTAAATCAATTATGCGTCGTAATGTTTCAACTCACTTTACATGCTGGATCTCGTCTCGTATTTGATACGGAATAATGAAAGCTCGCTATTTAATTATTTTCAATTGCGCTAGATTAAAATGTGCACTTATACCTTGCGCTTATTATTATCCTTGACAACAATAATAGCAAGACTAGTAATGGCTATAATGACAACAAGATGTCTAGCTTTCTGTGCTCGATACGCAGCCGAGCTATAGCGTTCGCCTCTCTCAAACTTACATTTGTCGCGATATTAAATATTGTAGAGACTACAGAAACTAATTTAATGAGTGTTAGTGCATCAATTCAGTGTCTAACACTCCATCACCACACACGTGACATGTGCTGTCGGGAGCCTACATCGCCCCGACATCTTGGTTGCCATCATCAACCCACTCGTGGCATTAGCTGTTCAATGTCGTCGTCAGTCAAGCTTCCTGCTCGCCATGCTGTTGTTTTAATTCTCCATCCTGTTAGTGGCGACTAGTGAGACGGGTTACGGATCTGTTTTTCAGAGACTAGGGCCACACTGTTAGTTCCACGAAAATCAATGGCTCTCTGACCCACCAAAAATATTTTTGTTTGCATTTAAGCAACACCTTGGGCAATCCAGGTACTAATTTATCAACCATGCATAATTGGATGGATAGCTGAGTTAGCCAAGAGCTGAAAGAACTTGTCTCTGTTGAGTGTGAGAAATAGTCTGTAACTGAACGAATTGTCTGGAGTAACCAGTTTCCTGCATACGATCTGCGACAACTCAATCATATTCTGAAAGTCAATTCCTTCGCTGCCAAGATATCCGGGATAGAAAGATACTGGAAGAGAATATTAGTACAAGCAGGGTTGACTTCCGCATCCGAGATATTTTCATTGAAAAATCGTACACCTCAGTCCAGAAAACACAAGTTGTTGACATTTCAGATTTTTAATAAAATAATGCACGTTTTCTTTGTTTACCCTAGTAGTTGGAATGATTAATGAATGTGCATAATGNTTAAAAAACGAGGGCTGTGTAATATGACTTGCGTGCGCGCATTAAATGACGCACTCAAGTGTAAGTCTTGGTAATTCGGCTTGAATGAACAAAGTTTGACCACCAAAAGGTTTTTTGAATAATGGTGTCATGCTCTGCCGCCCTTCATGCAGTGAGGACAATGAACTTAGTTCCAGCACACACATATTCTTCTTAATTTAGGCGGCAATTTTGTCCAAGAATTTGTGTGCGCTATGTATTTAGAACCTTGACTTATAAAAATTAACGTGCACTATTGATTAACGTGCACTATTGATTAACGTGCACTATTAACTATTGAACCTGAACACGCCCTATTTATAAATTAATATCAAAATAAAATGATACATTTTTGAGACGTTCACTACAAACTTGCACATCGAAACAAAGTTTTGTTTTGGCGATAATTGTCATCATTTCATTCGTTGAAATGTTCATTTCAGATGAATAAAACTGAAAACAATATTTTCTATTAATCCAACCTCGTAAGCCCTCGCAGCTCGTATCGTCTGTCAAATATTCATATTTTAATCAGAACATTTTCAACGTTTATGACCACGTGCATGTGATTTTCTGAGGAAGAATGAGCCTTTTCATCAAAGTAAAATTAAAAACTTCAAAGTTTCTTGCGATGATGAGCTGCCGTCACGCTATGAGTGGTCGGACTGCGTGTCGGCCGATGATCGGGGCAGCACTCGCGCTGTTGGTAGACGAGCGGGACGCCGAGGTCGGTCCAGAGGCCGTACCACAAGAACTCAAGTACACGTAGCGGTTTAATTACACGTGGCGGTTAAGTACAAGTAGCGATCTAAGCACATGTAGCCAACTAGGTACATGTACCGACCTAAATACTGGTAGCGACCTCAGTACTTGTAGCTACCTAAGTGCTCGTAACTATACTAATTAAGTGCTCGCAGCGGCCTAAGTATACGTAGCGACCAATTTCTCGTCTGCGTGATTGGTGGGTTTTGCTTGAAATGCTATTAGGGATTGGCCGACGGAGTTACGAACTCGTAACTATTTTCGATAGTACGGCCCTAGTAATTTACAGAAGCTCCATTTCTACACTGCATTAGCACCCAAAATATTTAAGAGTTCGTAACTCCGTCAGCCAATCACTGAAAGCTTTTCTAGCTAAACCCACCAATCACAGACGCGAAATGTGCCGCTACGTGTACTATGTATGCTACGCGCAATTATTATTGAGGTATTGTATTTCACCATTTATGATTATTTTCTCGGCACAGAAGAAGACGGTTGCTGTAAGTCGGTCGATAAAGACGTCAGTGGTAGATGCTATAGTAGACGCTGCTGGTTAGTTCATCTTGAGTGAAAAAAAATTGAATTATGTGGTTGCTGAATGCAAGTCCTGGTCAAAATTCGGCCACATCATCAAAGTTTTTCGTTCTTGGTTATTTATCTCTACTCTTGACGACATTTTGCTGCTTGCTGCTTATCCTGGAGTGTGAAGGACGCTTCAAAGCTTGGAAGTCGGTGGCGGTGAACACGACTTTCCTCGCGACGATAGCAGTGCAAAACTCCAGTTACATCCTCCGCTCCATCGTACAATGCATGAACCGGGCCACGACTTTGGACTGGGTTTACGTAGCCTGTTACACACCCATGCAGGAGGCAGGGGAATGTTCCCTCTGGGGATATGAAGCCTCAGTTAATCTTCCATCGGATTCAGGAGCACAACAATCTCACTGCAAGCTCTTCTACCAAGATGATGGTGAGTGCAGTGAACATTGAAGCGAGTGCGGCGCGTTATTATTATTCGCTTGAAAATCGTTGAAGGTGTTATTTATTTGCTGATTTATACATTTATACGTGGGAGGAATTAATATAATGCTTTTAGGAAGACTAACGTGTCTATGTTGCTCTCCTCGAGGCTGCGTGCTGGCGAACGGGTCACTGGCGGCACCTGGGACTTCGTTCTACAGCGCTCAGTACTCCGACGTCTTCATCACGTGTCAGCTCAACGGGCGCATTCATCGTAAGATAATATTATCAAATATTCTGTTTTGTTTCCATTATTCCATTAATAAATTTCTAGCTGGACATCCAACGCATTTATTTAAATGTACGATTTACTATTTACTTAACTTTTAAAAATGAGTTATTTGCTTATTGTGCTACAAACAAGGTCTTGCCATAAAACGGATCCTTACTACTCTATTTTAGAGCAGTAGTTATCAGCCTTAGTTCAGTTCCTAATTCAACTAAAAGTTCTTAACAAAATCGATTGAAAATCTTAGCTGACTGACTAGCGAACCCATAAGGACTAACAGGTAATGTAGTTTCGTGTATCTTTAATGTTCATGTAGATTTGTTAAAATTTTTCATACTATGAAATATTACGAAACCACACACAAATTTGTTTGACTTCAGAAATGTGCGAGTTCGAAGGCCAGCTCTACAATCTGAACGAAACGATCGGGTGCCTTCTCTGTACCACAGTCGGCGTCACGTACGGTGGTAAGTCTTGATATAATTCGATTTCACTGTTCTTATGCTTAACAACTGTTCAGCTTTCGATATACATAATTATATTGAATCTTATCAACTTATGAGCTGTCGATACGCTCTCACCAATTGAATTGTCGGATAATTTGTTGAACACTTCGGTCTTGATTGTGGAGAATAGGTTACACCCGGGGATATCGTACGGGCAATGGGCTACACCTGAGGATGTCGTACGGGTGTAACTCATCTTTCATATAAATTAACTAATGTACTACCGATACGCGTGATCAATCACGTTAACTTATCATCTGATTGGCCTAATCGTACTGCACAAGTTATTATGACAATGTTTAAAAAAATAAGCTTTTACTATTCCCCACTTACATTTCAATTTTATATAATTCCTTGTCTCGCTCATTTGTTTACTCTCAAAATTTTGCCAATCTCATAAATTTGAATTTTCACCATTTCAACATTCTCTGATAATTCTAGATTTCCACCTATGTTCCACCGTCCCCAAACATTTGTATATTCTCGTCGTATAAAAGGTCTCCAACAATTGTACGTTACCACAACAGAAAGGGAGTCAAGGCATACAAATCAATGGTAACTAAGATACTCTTAGCTCACCGAGGTCGCAGCATGGGACCACGCCCAAAACGCTGGAATGTCAGGCTACATAATTAGCTGAATTTTCGATACACTCACGTGATTCAAAATTTCTGTTGAATATTAGGTCATATCAGTCAGTAAAATTATCTATCTGTCACATTACTGTTAAAGAGTCTATTATATCAGTTAACTTAAATATCTCAGAGTTGTGCACCACGTAAGAAATATTTGTGCCGTAAGAAATATTGGGATACGTTAAAATGGATGCGAGTAAACGCTTCTGCCTACTCTCAGTATGCCACATGCATTCAGATACGTATTTAAAATACTGAAAAGTGTCCACCCTTCTGTTCGAGCAACAGGCCTGCGTCCTGTCATAATACAATCCACGATTTTGTTCCCAAGTTTGATTGGATACTCTGTAGATGGATTATGCATTTAGCTTTTAGATTAGTTCCCGATTGTACGAACAATGTTTGGTTATTTGGTCGACATTTGGTCGTCTGGGTAGCGGGATCAAAGGCAACGAGTTTAATTAACACTGCTTAAGTCCGAGGCAAGAGTTACTGCTGCTATTGACTATAGCAGCGGTCAATTAGTTATCTGAGATAATATATTGTACAGAGTTGTAAATTAGTACTCTTTCGTGTACTTTATGTTAATACAAATTAAAATGAAACAAAATGCATGTAATGCGATTTGTTGTCGAACATATTAGAATAACAAACATTATTGTCTGACGTTGTCTGAGATTTCGGCTTAACGAACGTTATCTTCTATATTGAGGAACTAAAAAGTCTCCAGTACGCAAGGTAATAATGAATATGTCTCAAGATATAACGATAACCTTTTATATCATTACTGAAATACTTCTAAGCATATATATACCATTGTCCAGTACAGATTAACATATCTACGGCCGTTTCAACGGAAACTACTACACTTAAAATTCCCAATCGCCGCCTGCTCCCGCATTTCATTCTCTCATTCTGTATTTCTTTTCTCCGAAAAAGAATTGGAAATTCTTATAATAGTAGTCCAATTGGATGCCCAATTATCACATTCGTGCATTGCCCGTTAAAAGTTATACGAAATAGAAACCTGGGCTAGAAGCCCACGCAATCAAAGCCATTTCATATATCTCGATATAAAAATTTAACTTAATTGACTGACATTCTTGTTCAAAGTCCAATCAATTGGCTTGCATTTGTGTTCAAAGTTGAACCCAAAGCCTAGTCTCTGGTGCAGCGAATGAAAATGTCATCAACACATGACAGTTCAACTACAAACGCACGCCCGCGGAAATTGATAAATTATTTTATGATTCGTCTGCTGCAAGTTTCGACTGATGCATTATACATGTTCAACAGACGAATATTCACCTGTTGCACTAATGATTCGTCTGTTGCATTATTCGATTCGTCTGTCGCATTACATGGATCGTCTGTTCTGTTGCACTAATGATTCGTCTGTTGCATTCCGCTAGGCTAGGCTGCACTATAGGCTTTGGGTTCAACTTTGAACATAAATGCCGGCTATCCTTAATTAAGATATGATTACAAAAATCGGTCGTAATGAATATTTCGTCAAGTTACGAAATATTTCCGACTAGCGAAATACCCTAGAAAATGGGAATAATGCATTAATGACACTGCCACCTCAGTACCCGAGATATTATAGTGCCAACAACTAAGGTATTGCTGCTGTGAAACAGTTTTATTACTTCCACAGTAACCATGGTATTACAACAGCCGTAACAGAGGAATGTTAGCCAAAGCCTACCTATAGGCAGGGTTGGTGATTTTTTTGATTAAAAAAAATCAAAAAAATAAAAAATCAATGATTTTTGTGATTTTTTCACGATTTTTTTATTTATTTGATTTTTTTGATTTATTCAACTTTTTTGTCTTTTTGAAGTGTTATTTTTAATGTTGCAATTAGCCTACTAACAATAACAGTATATGGATCATAATGGATGGCTAAAAAGGGCACTTATTGCCTTCAATAATAGCGAGAAACCCGCTATGGGCCCATGACCCTCAGTGGGCTCGCTGCCCCATGTTACCCTATCTACAGCCGCTTCAACGGAAATGAACAACTGCTACACTTAAAATTCCCAATCGCCGCATACTGCGGCATTTCATTCTCTCATTCTGTATTTCTTGTCTTAGAAAAAGAATTGGAAATTCTTATAATAGTAGTCCAATTGGATGCCCAATTATCACATTCGTGCATTGCCCGTTAAAAGTTGTACGAAATATAAACCTGGGCTAGAAGCTCACGCAATCAAATCCATTTCATATATCTCGATATAAAAGTCTGACTTAATTGACTGACATTCTTGTTCAAAGTCCAATCAATTGGCTTGCATTTGTGTTCAAAGTTGAACCCAAAGTCTCTGCTGCAACGAATGAAAATGTCATCAACACATAACAGTTCAACTACAAAAACGCGCCCTCGGAACTTGATAAATTATTTTATGATTCGTCTGCTGCAAGATTCGTCTGATGCATTTTACATGTTCAACAGACGAATATTCACCTGTTGCATCATACGATTCGTCTGTTGCATTATTCGATTCGTCTGTTGCATTAAACGGTTCGTCTGTTCTGTTGTACTAATGATTCATTTGTTGCAATACATGATTCGTCTGTTGCATTCCGCTAGGTATAGGCTGCACTAGGCTTTGGGTTCAACTTTGAACATAAATGCCGGCTATCTTTAATTAAGATATGATTACGAAAATCGGTCGTAATGAATATTTCGTCAAGTTACGAAATATTTCCGACTAGCGAAATACCCTATAAAATAGGAATAATGCATTAATGACACTGCCGCCTCAGTACCCGAGGTATTACAGTGTCAGCAGCTATGGTATTGCTGCTGTGAAACAGTTTTATTACTTCTACAGTAATAATATTATTACAACAGCCGTAACTGAGGTATGTTAGCCAAAGCCTATCTTTCTACAGGGTCATCAATATCTAGCGTTACATTGTTTTTTTTTTTGAAAATCAATACACTCACAAAACAGTCAAATGTGTCGTATGGAACCATGTCGACTGTTTTCCGGAAGGACATAAAGTTGCCCCCATTCAAGCATATCAAAAAACACCAACTGTCTGCTCAAGTTCTTAACAAACGTCTCCAAAGATCCAAGATTCTTCTTTCCCGCATTCATGATGGCACGTTGCCAAACCTCGCTTTCAGCGTTGAGAAGATATTCAATGTTGAACACCACTTCAACTCCCAAAATGATCGAATTTGTTCGAAGAATGGGACGAAGGATCCCATGTGGTGACTAGGAAGCAATGCCCGACCTCAGTGATGGTCTGGGCAGCCGTAACAGAGTCCTCAAGGAGTCCCCTCTTTTTTGTTGACAAAGGGGTGAAATTGAATCAGAAGAACTATCGAGATGCCATCCTTGTTTTATGCATTGTTGCCCTGGGCACGAAAGCACTTAAAAAACGCCCCTGGTCGTTCCAGCAGGACTCTGCACCATCCCATGAGGCCAAATCGACTCAGGAGTGGCTGTCCGAGAATGTTCCCCACTTCATTACCAAAGATGAATGGCCCCCATCGTCACCCGATCTGAATCCTCTGGATTTTGGGATCTGGTCATACCTTGAGAGCAAGGTCTCGACCGTTCACCATAGCAGTTTGGACGCCCTAGAGGTCAAACTGCTGAAGAAGTGGGCCAAAATCCCGCAGAGTGTCATTCGTGACTCGTGTAAGGCTTTCTCTAAGCGTCTACAACTCGTGATTGATGCAGATGGTGGACATATTGAATGAAATTGTGGGAATTGTATCTCTGAACCTCTGCCTACATAAATACATTTCCAAACTTTCACAATTGTGTTTCATTTCATAGTTCTAACCACTCAAAGTTGTAACGCTAAATATTGATGACCCTGTAGTAACCAAGGTATTTGAACAGCAGTAACCGAGGTTTCACAACTGCAGTAACCGAGTTATATCAGTAACCGAGTTACATCAGTAACTGAGTTACATCAGTAACTCACTATCAATAGATCTACTAGTTTTATGTCCTATAAATCTACCAGACTCTACCCTCTATACACACCGACTAGTAGTGACTGACTGCACTGTTCCCATTTAATTCAGACCAATAAACCAATACTAAACACAAACTGAATGATAACCAAACCAACCTCATACGACTTGAAACGAGACTTAAGTTATGAGAAAATCTAATACTGTTTGAAATAAACATGTGCACAATTCAAATATTTTATATCCATTCACTGCATTTAATTATTTTATATATAGTCTTATAATTGTAATTGATTTGTTTCTAGTTTTAAATTCACATATTTAAAGATTGAAATTAAATATTTTAATTAGAATTCTTGTATTAGGGTGGAAAATCTTTCTTATTGCCTAAAAGGTCAATACAATCTCAACCTCTCAATATACAGGGTGGGGGAGAACCGATTGAGCAGTTTTGAGGTAAAATAAGAGTAATGGAGGTACATAAAGAAGAAAGTTTATTTTCCTAGAGGTTAGCATAACATACCATTTAGAATACTTATGTTTTGAAAACAATATCTGGAAGATGGGGGCTGTTAGCTGCAACACACTGTTGGAGTCGTTCTCGGAGGAGGGAGTAACCGTGATAGTGAATTCCGATCGCTATGCTGCAATGTTGCAAAATTTCTTGCAGCCTATGATGGAAAACATCGTTGAAAATGAAGCATTGGGAGACATGTGGTTTTAGCAGGATGGGGCTACAGCTCACACAGCCCGAATGTCACTCAATGTTTTGAGACTCACTGTTTTGAGACGCATGTTTCCCGGAGGTCTGGTGTCTCTGAGGGGGTGATTTACGGTGGCCTGCAAAGTCACCTGATTTGAGCATTTGCGATTTCTTTCTTTGGGGACATCTAAAAGAAAGGGTGTTCTGAAGTCACCCTCACACCCTACCACAGCTAAGGGAACAGATTAATGCAGCAGAGGTTATGGCCATACCTCGCCATGTGTGTGAATGTGCTGTATGAAACTTCTGAGAACGACTCCAAGTCTCCAACAGTGTGATGCAGCTAACAAACACCATTTTCCTGATATTGTTTTCAAAACATAAGTATTTTAAATGGTATGTTATGCTAATCTTGAGGAAAATAAACTTTCTTCTTTATGTACCTCCATTACTCTTTTATTTCGCCCTAAAACTGTTCAATCAGTTCTGCCCCACCTTGTATAAGCTAGCTAACACATTTAAATTGTATATTGTAATCAATATATAACAAATAGTCAAATAGTTAAAGACTTCTTATAGCCTTGTAAGAATTAGCTAAGCTGCTAGCTGTGTACAATGTATTGCAACATTTGATGCCTCTGTACCAAAAACATTCAATTTATTGGAACCTAATACACACTAAAGGCAACAAGTTTATATACCAATTTGTCATTCATAGTACATTTATACTAAACCATGAATAACAATACCTCAATATAAATTAAAGACTGCCACTTAATATATTTAAATATATGAAAAAATCAAAAAAATAAAAAAAATAAAAAAAATCATGATTTTTTATAAAAAAATCAAGTGATTTAATAACATGATTTAATCATTTTGATTTAATCATTGCCAACACTGCTCTATAGTAACGGAGGTATTTTAACAGCAGTAACCAGGGTATTACAACTGCCGTAACCGAGTTATATCAGTAACAGAGTTACATCAGCAACTGAGTTACATCAGCAACAGAGTTACATCAGTAACTGAGTTACATCAGCAACTGAGTTACATCAGCAACAGAGTTACATCAGTAACAGAGTTACATCAGTAACTGAGTTACATCAGTAACAGAGTTGCTTCAGTAACTGATTTACATCAGTAACAGAGTTGCTTCAGTAACAGAGTTACATCAGTAACCGTGATATTGCACTGCCCAAAGTCTTGTCTGTTTTCACAGACACTAAACAACGTCGCGTCTTGGACGTCGCGCTGCCGCCGAGGGACACGTGCTGCGCTCAGGCAGCCGACGGATACTGTCTGGTAAAAGTTGATATAATTTCTTGATAATAATCAGATAATAGGTCCATGATTTAACTCATGCTCATTGATTATTGGCTTTGATTGAGTGCAAGTTAGGTTAATGTCTATTTATAAATTCAACCAAAAGGTGGGCATTCATTTATGAGACACTTGTAAGTTTGATAGATCGATTTGCGTAATGATTTTACTTATACTTTGTAAACCTTTTAAAATGAGTCATTAACTACATCATTAATACTATTTTTTATAAATAAAGGTGGCGGAATGCGCTGCCACCCCCATAGGCTTCTGCGAGGCGAAGACTCGGTGCGAGGCGCGAGGTCTGCCGCTGGCCTCACGGGAACTGTACTACAACTACAGCCGCATCACACAGCTTGCTCCCAGTGAGTTGACAGTCTGGTAGTTAGTATAGCCAAGGCAATAGTAAGAATTTTGAGACTAGTGATGAAAAATCGACGCGACTCTCCATGGATTTTGAGTTCTGATATAAATTAGATCTTGGATTGAACGTTGAGGTAGAAATCACAAATCAGCAGGGTATAACGTAATGAATTCTATATATTGGATACTGAGCATCTAATGATTCTTAGATATTGAACCCATTGTTCTTGTTTGTTCATAGCGGGCTTTTGGTTCTGGATGAACATACATCGAGGGGCAGACATGGTATGGCGTTGGATGCCAAGTATGGAGCCCATGGGGAACATTATCGACGCTTCGGGAACTTATGATTGTGCTGAGCTGTTCCTCGGAACATCCGGCTTCTACCGCGTTTCGTGTGCCGCAAATGACGAAGAGTGCGCACTTTGTTACGATCCTGCGACAACCTTGCCGTCGTGCTGAGCATGAGAGAGAGAACCCATGCAGCTTCGTAAGCAGTTCCTTGCAGAGGTAGACTCACTTCGAACATTGTCGGTAATTGTGCCGTATCTTATAGTGGAATTTAATGGGGCTTGAAGCAACCATGCATTGTTACAATTCATTTATTACCATAAGATAACAAGAACAATAGTTGCACCAATAGCTGTTGCTCAAGGTAATGCCTGGCCAGTATCAAATGGTTTAATTTATTTCTTAAGTTTTAAAACAACTAGAATGTTGGTGAAAAATGATTTACTTATAGAATAGAAGTGTCGGCACTGAAGAAATAGGCTCAGATCTCGTGGCACTTTTTTTTTGTTAAGTTACACAGCTCATATCAAGTTAACGGAGTCTACGTAGTCAACTCTGCTCGTGAATTTGAATTAATGTTGACCTGAAGGGATGATTTACTGGGTGGCATTGAATAAACATTTAGTGCATTATATCACGACTTCCGAGTGAATGCCGCTTCTCTTCCCTAAAACAGGATTCGTTTTCATAGTTGAATCCAGATGTTAGAGTGACTCATTTGGATTAAAATGTTGCAGATTCAATCGTTATGTAGGTTACTCAAACAGGTAGAAAAGTAGGTCGAAATCCCCACACCGGCCGATACCATAACCTACTGGTGTATCACGCGACGCACGTTTGATAACAAATCACCTCAGATAATTGAGTAATAATCGTTTATAAACACTTCAATAACATTTTTAATTCCTAATTTTGAGTGATGCACTTTATTCTGAGAGTGAATTTATTTACCTTGAATCTAAATGCCTGTAATGAATTTTTTTATATTAAAGACACGTTATTCTTATTCTACCTACAAGTCTTGACTCAAGAGACTCTCATATGGCCCGGCTATCGTCACGAAGCAACAGGCTTGGCCGGGGAACGAAGAACAAGATTGTTGAATAACTTCCGATTGCGACTTACGTGGGACAATATTTCAGTATTCAATATTTTACTAGCTGAAATTTTTATAATATTTATGGCGATACGATTCAAATTTATCAATAATGTTCATCGGCGCGAGTTAATATTTCCAGCTTGTATTTTTAGAAGACATTGTCATTAAATACAATCGTGTTTGGAGTTTTCGCTGAAATGAACTTGGGAGGACTCGGCATTAAGCTTGCAGGGAAGCCTTAGCTTTTGCTGCGTACATAACCAAAGACCTGTTCGGGTTTATATAAGAATAGTACGTGCCTTTCTTTGCCTACGAAGTTGTTCAGCTCATTCTTGGTCTCAATTGAGTATGACATTTGCGACTTGTCATTGTTATGGATTTAGCCGTATTGTATTATTAGCCTTATTTAATTAGCCTACTTGAGAAAATAAAGATCATACCAGTTCTGGAAATTCGTTCATGATACATGATATTTACCCTACAAGAACTATCCGCGAATGAAATCATTTTGACTTCATAATCGAAATTGAGGCAATTAATTCGATTATAAGATCATTCCATATTGTATTTAAACAGATTTATTATCACTCGCAAACCGTTTTCTCGAGTTTTTCCTTCGTGTGACGCAGGTTTTTTACTTCGCTGCCTGCACAAAGACTCTCACTGCTCTTAAACGCTTGATCGAAAATATGAACATTCCCCTCTACTTTTGAAAAAGTTTTCGATTCCATGCCCATCTTATAAGTTTGTATTGATTTCTATAATAAATAATTGTGGCTAACTGGACACATGCACTGCAAGTGATGATGCTTGAGCAGAGCGACATCTGTGATAGGAGTCAACTTGGTGTTATAAGCAGGCAGGGCAGGGTGGCCCAGTGGTATGGGCAGGGTTGCCCAGTGGTTACAGTTCAGAGTACCATGATTGGCGCAGAGAGGCGCGGGTTCGATCCCAGCTCTGTGCGCCAGTTTCTGGACAGAATCGGCGAGGAGGCCGGGCGGTTAACACAGCAGAATTGTAGCAGTGAGTTGCGAGTTCGAGACCGCAAAATACTGTGAATGTTCTGCGATGTTAAGAATCGGCGAAACGCCTACGGCTTAATAAACGCTGAAAGCGCTATTATTATTATTTATTATAAGAGAACAATGCTGATGGTCATCAGTGCTCTGCATTTCTCTGACACATGTCCAGCCCTTTTCCTGCATATCCATCAAAATCTGCGCTGATATTTGTAGAGTGATTGCGCTTGCTTCAAATTAAGTCGATTCCAAGTGTTTTTGCATATTATGACATTGAATATTGAAATTTAACCAAAATTGTTATACTTATATCCGTGTTGTCATTTAACAATGCTTGACAAAGCTAATGTCGTATTTGAGAGATAAAACTTAATTAGCATAGTCCCATTTTTCTATTGATATCTACGTAACTTAAATGTTGCTAGCATCATTTTAAAGGGGTTCGACCTATTATTTAAAACGAGCATTTAATTTGTATCATTGCGTTAAGTTCATGTTTAGTCAACTGAATGACACGACGAATATTACGAGTCTTTGCGCAGCACTTTTCTGGAGTGAAAACTATTTACATTTTGTCTAGACTTAGAAAGATATGTGATTTGTCAAAATTAAGAAATACCGGTAATCAAATTATGTGTTAGTCGAATTGCGATAGATTAACTTATATTATTATATTGTCGAATTATTAATATATTATTCTTTACTATCAATAAATAATATTTGAGTGTGAGAGAGTATCTATTTGTTTCCTTCATAAATATACAGTATATATAGTGCCTCATGCTCAGTCAGACGACCGATTCTATCCGCGGCAGGTTTGGTGACGTTACAAAGAGAATCTGGGCATTTGGTTGCGTGAATTGTTCTCAGAAATGTATACATCAGTATACATTCAATACATTTCAATTCAATATACATGAGTATACATATACAATGAGTACACATCAGTTGAGCATCTTGCTCACCATCATCACTACGCGTATGATGTGTGGTGCAATAATTTACAGCAGCCGAACATCGTTCACGAAACAGACGTCAGTAAAGTATATGTATATCCTCCTCCCAATGCTACGGCAGTCTATTACCGAGCTGATTTCACAACTGAACGTCAGAAAAAGGTCGAACATTTGCAAACGACTTCTATTTCGACGTTTTTAGCGCATTTTCTCATTTATGGAAAAAATGCACTATTGTGCTCGCCATGTCCGTCCATCTGTCCGTCCGTCCGTGACCTCAAGTTTTCGTCGACGAGAAAATGCGTTCTCTGTCACTCACTGCAGTGAGTACTGAGTTATATTTTTTGAGCTTCCATCCATCTCACGAATTGACCTTCAATTACTACAGCCACACTCGAGAAAAGAACTCATTGGACGAACGACAATCGTTGAAATTATTTGTAATATATTTGGTAGAGATTTATGATACGGTGCACAGTTGAGAATATGGTGCGTAGTCGGTGGAATTCATTTGAGCGATGAATCGTGACTAATTTCTGACAACGACGTGTAACGATACAGCTTTATGATTTATTTTAAACAGGTTCATTTTTTTGCTGTTAAGCCTTGTTTCACTGATTGAACTCTTACGTTACTGTCTAAGACCACACCGAGGCCTCCGTATTCGTCCGTCGCATCTCAGCAGCATGCTGGTAAGTCTTCCACTTCACCGAGGACGAAAATGTAGAAAATTTTGTGACCAATCTAAGTAAGAAATGTAAATACATCTGCTGAATTTTTAATTTCACTACATTCTACCACGTAAATAAGGTAAGTTGAAAGACCCCCATGCAGTAGTCTTTCAGTTTAACGTCAACGAAAAGACTACCGGCGTCATACGCTGCACAATTTCTTCTTGATGGTGCGTGCCCGACCATTCTGTGATTTCCTGAGCGAGTTTTAAAAAATTACAGTTCTATTCAATCCTTAATAGGATTTGACGTTGTGAATCAGAATCATAGAAATTTTGATTCTTAACTCCTTCACGTTAGGCGAAGAAACGTGCAAATGAAATATGATTTTAAAGTCTACGGTTTGAACTCGTACAATTAAACTAACATGTGGTCCTACGGCAAGTCGCTTGTTGCAGCTCCCATCCATACACACATGACCAAATCATACATACGCCTTGGCAAATCTGTCATGGTTGAGATAATTGTTGAACCTTGAATTGATATGCACGATCTACCCGATCTCAGTTCGCAATTCCTGTGTTCACAACACGATAAAATCTTCTGCTTGATCTGATTACAAAAGATCTTTGTATAATAATTAGTCAGTCGTCAAGAACACAAAACTGATTTACATTAATTAGTATCTTTATTTAACTAAAATTTTCAAGCTTCCCAAGAGTTGACCATCGAATTTATAAATTCGTTTGCAAAGTTAAATTTTGCCATTGTGAGAATCCATTTCGGCTTGAAAGAAGAGCTATGTATATAAGGGCAGTAAACTAGCTACAAAGATGCGTTGCACGCGAAAATTTAGAGCTCACAATTTAATATTGGGCTGCTAAATTATTTAACATAAATCAGACACCACAAATTCCCATACTACAACGAAATCAAATCTCACAATAATTATTTCAGTCATAGTTC